TAAAGGTGCGAACGTTCATGATGCATGGAATAGAAACGTTCATGGAACGTTTTAAAGGTGCGAACGTTCATGATGCATGGAATAGAAACGTATATGAACGTTCATGGAACGTTTTATAGGTGCGAACGTTCATTAGACCAACGTTCGCATAACATCGACGACATTTGTCAACGACGAATGATGTTAAAACTTCGAAGCTTGCGTTAAATTATGAATTTTATTTACGTTAAATTCAATTACAAACTGATGAATAATTAAGACACATGATTTAGCGCGAAGTTCGTTTTAGTTGCTGGTGTTGAGACCGTTTTATTTGTCTGGGCTCGCATCGGCTTGCTGCTCGCATTTCTACCGTATTAAACATACAACATTTCCCTGACTTGCTGCTCGCATTCCTACCGTATTAAACATACAACATTGCCCTGACTTGCTGCTCGCATTCCTACCGTATTAAACATACAACATTTCCCTGACTTGCTGCTCGCATTCTACCGTATTAAATACCGTATAAACACGGTGGTGTTTCTGAAGCCGCATATCCTCTCTGAGATAACATCTTAATTGCTCAGTGGCAATCGTCGAGTTTGAAGTTGCATCAGCTTTACAGCTCAGAGAAAATGTTTATAAAGTTTATTTGCAGGAGTTATTTATGTGCTATTGTACACAGCGTCCTAATTAGGATCAATTACAAAATGCGATTAGGGTGTCCTAATTAGGACCAAATTACAGGAAGCGATTAGGGTCTAAACATTCCTCGAAATACGCCGTTTTTTTAACAACTGACAAACTACAGATCAATAATTCTGGCGACACGAACTCTGAATTTATCGGTCATGTTGATCGTCTCTGTTAATATAAATTTTATTGTAGGCTCGTCGCGCTTTACTTTTAACTACATCTTCGTCTCTAAGTACTTATATTATCAGTCTGCTTATATCGCAAGTTCACAAGGAATTTAAAAGCAAAGAAAACACCAAGCAAATTCACCATATCGATATTGAAAACGTTTCGGAGTCCAGCTCCATCATCAGTTCGAAAAACTAAAAATGAATAAAATCAAATTATTATACAGCTGATTGTAGCGATGTCCTCTGACAAAGTTATTTTAAATTCGTTTGCCGCCCGTGCTTCATCGGATCCCTTGAACTTGCATTTTAATTTACTTTTTTTCACGAGATTTTATATTTATGCTTAAGTTAATATTATCATATTTTCTAATCGCAATCGTTCGGGTTTCTAATCGCTTTATAACCCGAACTCTAAGTTAATCACTGATCAGGGTTCTTGTAATGGATGTCAGGGTACGCACACAGTGAAAGCAGGTTGCCAGCGTGCTGGTTCCCTGCTCAGGCTGGTGCCTGAAACCATAGAACACAGAAGCCTATTCGTACAGGTTTTCACTGTGAACACTTACATTATTATCCTATGTTCATTCTTGTGGCAGGCTGAAGCAGGTTGCCCGCGCTGGCAAACCTGCTTTCACTGTGTACGTACCCTTAGAATTCGGTAATTTACCAAATCGCAGTTTCAGGCTAAGGCAAGTAGGTGCAGGTGTTAACCCTAATTCAAGTTGAATTATAACATTTGAATCTGAATTGAGACATCCTGCTCTATTTATAAGTTACTCCATAATTTTTTAAACTTGCGCAAGTGTTTAATTTCATGTGATAGTTAACTTTCTTAGCACAGCAACTGCTTTTTGTAGTTTACTTGTTGCATTCAAAGTTACTTTCTCACGTCCACTGGACCGCTAGTAAAGTTAGTGAGGTACTGCAAGAGGCAGCCATGCTAGCTGTCACTAGGCTCCTAGCGTCACTAGTATGCTGCTGTGATGCGGGGCTATGCTCCGTAACTAGTCTGTTAGTTACTAGGCGACACTAGTAGCTCAGTGATTCTGTTATTGTATCACTCAACTCTATAAGTGGGAAAATAGTATCTCTCAACACAATTGAAAACCTGGATTGATGCGATTTTTAAGAATTCGAAATGTATAAATGTCTCTTATGATCGTTATTTTTATTTACAATTATCTAACTAGTTTCATCGATACGTTGTGTGGCTTCTGAATCAAACTGATATGTACCGAAGCATTAAGGTTAAGTCTCTGTCTCGCTCTGTCTCTTCCTCAAGTCTGTCTCTTTCTGTCTCTTTCTCAAGTCTGTCTCCTTCTGTCTCTTCCTCAAGTCTGTCTCCTTCTGTCTCTTCCTCAAGTCTGTCTCCTTCTGTCTCTTCCTCAAGTCTGTCTCCTTCTGTCTCTTCCATAACTGAATGACGAAATGCAGCGCCAATCATTGAACGCTCATTCAACACTCGTTCAACGCTCATTCAACGCTCATTCAACGCTCATTCAACGCTCATTCAACGCTCATTCAACGCTCATTCAACGCTCATTCAACGCTCATTCAACGCTCATTCAAAGCTCATTCAACGCTCATTCAACACTCATTCAACACACGTTCAACACTCATTCAACGCTCATTCAACGCTCATTCAACACTCATTCAACGCTCATTCAACGCTCATTCAACTTCAGCTCACCGAGGTGAATAAGGGCAACGACCTCATCCACCCTTCATCACTCATTTGTTCACGACGCTGCATTCCGCTTTGTTTGACTCATAACTCATCAAGCATAACATTTACTTCGATGAGTGAACTAAGTTACTTATATTACTTACTATGCTTCCCTGGCATTACTACTTGATTGCTAAGTAGCGATGGTGTACAATGTACATGTGCACATAACTAGCAGCATGTTGCTGTACAATGTACATGTGCACATAACTAGCAGCATGTTGCTGTACAATGTACATGTGTGAAGAACAGTTCATTTTTTTCCAAAGCAATTTATGTGCTATGTACTGCAGCGCCAGGGCTGTATGGGCTGCTGCGGTACATCCCTAGTTGTGTATATTGTCTATATATATAATATTAATGATCGTGATTACTTCTATAGGCTAATTAATTAATACTACTGAAGGTATTCTGGTCTTGAATATTGATTTATTATATAATTATAGAATAAGGTATAATTGAAATGCATGCACAAAGTTTACTTCTCTTGCAGCAAACATGAAGTATGCCACAGTCATGATGGTAATAATGGCTAATGTAGAACGTAAATTAAAATTAATATAATGTGAGAGTATGTAAGTCCCTGAACTGTGTGTGTTAAAGTTGAAGGCGTTAAAGTTAAAATCCTATAAGAGATGAACCAGTACAATGGTCGGGATCAGCAGCTTAACTGACGGATGCCAAAAAAGTAACAAATAAATATAACTCAGTACTCACTGCAGTGAGTGACAGAGAGCGTATTTTCTCGTCGACGAAAACTTGAGGTCACGGACGGACGGACAGACAGACGGACGGACGGACGGACATGGCGAGCACAATTGTGCATTTTTTCCATAAATGAGAAAATGCGCTAAAAAGTAAAAAAGTAACGCACATGTCAGCGCTGGTCACGCTTGATCATAGCGGTCTAAAGGAAAGTACGTAGTAGCAAATTTTCAACCTACTATATTACTTTGTCGAATTATTCTTCTAGCAAATTCCGTATATTTAACACGATCTCAGCGTTGGTGAAATGTGCGCTCGTTTTAAGAGTTAGTGAAATATGCGCGCAAACTCCATAGACTCACAATGTAAGAGATAGTGAAATTTGAAAGATAAATCCGTAGATTTAATTCATTTCTTTAGAGGTGTAGAAATGTTCGAGCTATTTCCGCAGACTTGATACGATCCTAGCGTTAGTGAAAATTGCGCGCAAATTCCGTGGACTGTTTACAAATTCCGAAGATAATGAAATGTGAGAGGTAACTCCATAGACTTATTAAATGTTTTGGATAGTGAAATATGCGAGCAACATCCGTAGACTCAACTTGAAATTCTCGAAGTTTGTAAAGAAAAACCTGTTCTACTAAGATCTACTAACTTAAGCCATCGCTATGCTATGTCTTGCTCAACGTTGCCGTGACCTGTGATGTCTCATGGTGTAGGTGTGTGTGTTGTACAGACCTTCCTCCCCTGTACTATACGAGCCTTTCCTTCTAAACTTTCCATGTCGTGGCACATTCCTTACATATGACTGATTTTGAAAATATTAAAATGGTCTGTAAGAATAAATATAGAATGCTTTAGATATTAAATCTTAATGATTCCATCGAGAACAACAGAGCAGACGTCGGCTGATAGTAGCATTATTTGTGTTTAATGTCACTGTATATACTGTAACCCTGCCGACATGTAAATGCTCGGAATGCCGGGTCGCGTATAAATGCTAGTAGTGGAATAAAGTAAGTCAGGTCGCTTGGAAGTCAGAAAAGGATGAACAAGTTTGACCCAAAGGTGTTTTATGAAATTAAGTATCAGTGAAAATACTTGACTAATCAGAATGCCCGTCACTACTTTTTGCCGGCTTTTTCTATTTCCTTGTATTACCAATTTGTGTATTTAAATGATTATATATTCTGGTGCCCTACGCAAAATGGCTTAATATTAGAAAAGAATAAAGACAAAAGCATCGAGCAACAAAAATAATTTAACGGAAACCTGGATTTTAGCCGAGTTTTATGTATTAGTGTTTTTTTTCTGCGAAGTGTTCGACAAAAGCGTTGGATTGAGCGGCATCTTTGCGTCATGCTACATTTTACTCTCTGTCTTCTACTTAATATTTGTATTGCTTGCTGCGTGGTTCTGTTCTCTCTTCGTAATTGTGATCTCTGTCTCATCCTTGCTTTATTATCAGGTAGTCTTTAATAATTTTATGCTAATTGTAGACGAATAATTTAATTATCTAGGCAGGAGATGGTCCTGAGATAAAATTAAACGCTGCTATTTTATAATAGTTTTGTGTTAACCCGCGCTTTTTCCTAATTGGTTCTTTACCGTTGGAAATATCGCTATAAGAATTAGCTCGTCTTACATTGTTTTTTAAAAGTGAGCCTCGCTACTGGCATTTATGTGCACTAATCCTCCACAGTATTGACGATGGTTTGTGTGTGGGATTTGTCTATGGAATTTCCCCTGCAATGTGATTTTTACTCGCTTATTAACTTGTGTACATTTATTTTAGTGGAGTTTGTGTTTAGTTTAAGTGCAGCTGCTACGGAAATTGCTTCGCGGGTTCAGCCCTCTTAAGTGGCAGCAATGAATGGCTGAACAAAACTCTTTAGTATGGTACTACCTTGCCAAAATTATATTGTTCCGAGACATGCAAAAATGTGGATCTATTAAAATAGAAAACTTAAGAATTATTTCTTGAACATATTTAATGTCTCTAATTTTGGCCTACGGCGGTTAAGATAAGGTTAACGATAAACATGACCTTTAGCACAGTGAAAGGTATGTAAACTTTTACCGCTATTATTACTATTAATGTAGAGCTCATTATCACTGCCATTACCTCATTACATTTTTCCAGTAGCAAATTGTAGGCACATAAAAGGTGAATGTTAAGATTATTAGCTTATCCGCCTCGATGTTGTTTCCTGGTATATAAATGTGAACGTTTAAGCAAGCCATCGACGGCTAGGCAGTCGCCATAAGACAGGCATTGTGCTAACAGGTCATTCCTCACTCCCTAATTTACTTTTGTGCTAACAGGTCATTTCTCACTCCCTAATTTACTTATTGTGCTAACAGGTCATTCCTCACTCCCTAATTTACTTTTGTGCTAATAGGTCATTTCTCACTCCCTAATTTACTTATTGTGCTAACAGGTCATTCCTCACTCCCTAATTTACTTATTGTGCTAATAGGTCATTTCTAACTCCCTAATTTACTTATTGTGCTAACAGGTCATTCCTCGCCCCCTAATTTACTTATTGTGCTAACAGGTCATTCATCACTCCCTAATTTACTTATTGTGCTAATAGGTCATTCCTCACTCCCTAATTTACTTATTGTGCTAACAGGTCATTTCTCACTTCCTAATTTACTTATTGTGCTAACCGGTCATTCCTCACTCCCTAATTTACTTATTGTGCTAACAGGTCATTCATCACTCCCTAATTTACTTATTTTGGTCTACTTGAAAATTCGCAATTTATCTTCAATAAAACGTAGCTTGTATTGTGTGGGGAGCGCGTGTGTAGCGTAAGTTTCGTCATTGTATGCTGAGATAACCAATACTTCTCTACTTTAATGAACTATTTAGCCCATGCATTGTTTCTGTGACGTACCTTGTAAGTGTTTTGTATATAAAGATGATTAGTAAACTTTTCGTTTCGGGAATGTTTTATCATTTCATTCTTCTTTATAAGGGCCAGTGAACCATCAGGATTCAGTGACATCTCAAATATGTCGAAATTTCACGAATTTCGGAATCAACTGAAATTTTATCTCTGATTTCCGTTGCAGTAATAAAATTATCAGCGAATATCAGTACTGAACAAAACCGTATTGCCCAATGATTGCACGAATTTCTTATAAAATGAATCTTGATTAAGCAGCAGAGGCCAGAGATAACGCATGAATCAAAACAGGCAAGGCATGTGACACTCAGTGATAGAAGGTTTTGGAGATGAGCCTGATGGTCTATAATACACAACATTTCGATTTTGTGATGAAATTGGCTCAGTGAATTTTGATCTTTTTTTGCAAAAAATTGTATGTATAATTTTCGGCGAAAGCATATTCTCAATCACTTCTCGATATCGAGACGTAATGGATGACAACTGCAAGTTTTGCAGAAGACAGCACCAAACCTACACCATATGTGTTTAAGGAGAGCATGTACCCATAATAGAAACTTTTATATTAACGGACGTATCATTCTGAAACTTGGTACACATATGTAAAATAGAAAAAAACTTTTTTGTCCGTGTAAATTTTTCTAAAAAAATGGAAGAAATCGTGAAATTCATAGAAAAGGGCAATAAATGAGCAAAAAGGGGTACTGTAGAAATTTATGTCCACCTAGGATTTTCAAGCTACAACATCGAGACTCATATCATTCGATATGTAAAGACCATGTATAGCGATCACCAGTTCACTTTTTCAATTTATTTTATTTTATTATTTCCTGATTTCTAAAAAATTTTCGATTTTTCAATTTTCGACCCCTTTTTCAATATACAATCAAAACGAAAACGAAATCGAAAAAAATGAGCGGTTGATATATTGAGATTTTTATTACGAATCAAAAAATATGCCATGTGCATCCATGAGGTTTGCTTGAACGCGCATTGTTTGCAGCTTTCAAACGAATGCAAACACTATGAAATTAACACGAATAATGATCCATAAATACTGGTCAAAATTCAAAGAAATCTATGTAAAATTTAGTTATAAAATTGCAATTTTATAAAAATTCAAAACTATCTCACGAAAAAACGATGAAGGCTACTTTGATGCAGTTTATTTTAGTTTCTTCGTAATCGTTTTTTCTACGAAAATAGATAACACAAAAAACGTAATTTCTTAGGAACACGCTCCAATTAACAATTGTTCAACTCATCACAAATCATGCTTGGCAATATTACTGTACCCATCCAACCTACTAGTACCTACATTTGTTCAACATCCCGACTTGACATTCATTTTAGTTCAACATCCCAACTTGACATTCATTTTAGTTCAACATCCCGACTTGACATTTATTATAGTTCAACATCCCGACTTGACATTNGCTAATAGGTCATTCCTCACTCCCTAATTTACTTTTGTGCTAACCGGTCATTCCTCACTCCCTAATTTACTTATTGTGCTAACAGGTCATTCCTCACTCCCTAATTTACTTATTGTGCTAATAGGTCATTTCTCACTCCCTAATTTACTTATTGTGCTAACAGGTCATTCATCACTCCCTAATTTACTTATTGTGCTAACAGGTCATTCATCACTCCCTAATTTACTTATTTTGGTCTACTTGAAAATTCGCAATTTATCTTCAATAAAACGTAGCTTGTATTGTGTGGGGAGCGCGTGTGTAGCGTAAGTTTCGTCATTGTATGCTGAGATAACCAATACTTCTCTACTTTAATGAACTATTTAGCCCATGCATTGTTTCTGTGACGTACCTTGTAAGTGTTTTGTATATAAAGATGATTAGTAAACTTTTCGTTTCGGGAATGTTTTATCATTTCATTCTTCTTTATAAGGGCCAGTGAACCATCAGGATTCAGTGACATCTCAAATATGTCGAAATTTCACGAATTTCGGAATCAACTGAAATTTTATCTCTGATTTCCGTTGCAGTAATAAAATTATCAGCGAATATCAGTACTGAACAAAACCGTATTGCGCAATCATTGCACGAATTTTTCATTAAATGAAGCTTGATTAAGCAGCAGAGGCCAGAGATTAGGATGAATCAAATAACAGGCAATTAAGGCGTGTGGCACTCAGTGATGGAAGGTGTCAGCGATGAGCCTGATGGTCTATTATACGCAGCGTTTCGATTTTGTGGTGAAATTGGTTCAGTGAATTTTGATCTTTTTTCAGCAAAAAATTTTATGTATAATTTTCGGTGAAAGCATATCCTCAATCACTTCTCGATATCGAGACGTGATGGATAAAAACTGCAAGTTTTGCAGAAGACAGCACCAAACCTACACCATATGTGTTTAAGGAGAGCATGTACCCATAATAGAAACTTTTATATTAACGGACGTATCATTCTGAAACTTGGTACACATATGTAAAATAGAAAGAGAAAACTGTTTTGTCAGTGTAAATTTTTCTAAAAAAAATGGAAGAAAACGTGAAATTCATAGAAAACGCAATAAATGGGCAAAAAGGGGGTACTGTATAAATCTATCTCCACCTAGGATTTTCAAGCTACAACATCGAGAAACATATCATTCGATATGTAAAGTCCAAATTTAGCGATCATCAGTTCACTTTTTCAATTTATTTTATTTTATTATTTCCTGATTTTAAAAAAAATTAAATTTTTTCGATTTTCGACCCCCTCTTTTTTCAATATATAATCAAAACGAAAAAGAAATCGAAAAAATTAGCGGTTGATCTATTGGGATTTTTATTACGAATCGAACGGTATATTCCTCATTCCTGTAGCTGAAAAATTGTAGGAGGAGGTAGATTTTTAAGTTGTAAAAGTTAACTTTTCAGGAAAGAAAAATAAGTGAAAATTTATAGAAAAAATGTGAATGTAAAAAAATGCTAGATACTGTGGCCCAAGCTTTTCCATTTGCCAATTACTCGCATTGTGGGTCCCGTTACGCGTATTTAGACTCATTCTTGTCCAGTTTAACGTTAATATTACGATATAAATGTGATTTTTACTGTTAAATTTTATATAGATAAAATGGAAATTTTCTATAGTTTAAAACGGCCTAACGCAAAAAATATGGAATGTGCATCCATGAGGTAGGTTTGCTTTATTGAACGCATATCGTTTGCAGCTTCCAAACGAAAGTAAACACTATGAAATTAACACGAATAATGATCTATAAATACTGGTCAAAATTCGAAGAAGTCTATGTAAAATTTAGTTATAAAATTGCAATTTTATAAAAGTTAAAAACTATCTCACGAAAAAACGATGAAGGCTACCTTGGTGCAGTTTATTTTAGTTTCTTCGTAATCGTTTTCTCTACGGAAACAGATAACACAAAAAACGTAATTTCTTAGGAACACGCTCCAATTAACAA